CTGTTGAAAGGCATCAATAGGAGGTGTATGAGATTAAAATACATTGCACATTTTCATTAGTTAATGATTATTTCCTACAAATAGATTGCATAGGCGACTGGAGAAAATTACAGTTGCCGTTAATGCCTTATATATATATATATATATATATATATATCTATATATATATATATATATATATATATATATATATATATACATATATACATATATATATAATATATATATATATATATATATATATATAGGTAATGCAACAGCGTTGCAACATCTACTAAAGATCCCATTGTTATTTGAAAGCGGGGGCCTGCTCCGTTCAGCCGTTACACCTTCATTTAATGATACACCTTCTCTTCGTACATTTACGCTATTCTTAACTGAATATTTACTAAACAGTTACTCGCAGCATACCTTTATATGTTATATGGGGTAAACATATTCTATTGCGAAGTAAAATATTTGAGGTGAAGTATACGAAATAAAACTAAGTTGTGTGCATTATCTATCAATGCTTACGAATATCAAAAACTCCGACATAGACAAACACACATACAGTCATACACACGCACATACATTTAAGTTGATATATACATATATGTATACATACGCACACACATACACACACACACACACACAAACATAAATTATCTCTCTCTCTCTCTATTTATATATTATATATATATATATATATATATATTATATATATATATTTTACATATATTTATACATACATATATTTACATATATAAGATATATATAGATAGATAGATAGATGTGTGTATGTAGTGTGTGTGTGGTGTGTGTGTGTGTTGTGTGTGTGTGTGTGTGTGTGTTGTGTGCATGTGTGCATGTATGTGTGTATATATATATATATATATATATATAATATATATGTGTGTGTGTGTGTGTGTGTGTGTGTGTGTGTGTGTGTGTGTGTGTGTGTGTGTGTGTGTGTGTGTGTGTGTGTGTGTGTGTGTGTGTGTGGTCCCAGGCTAAATGTAGGGAATCTCGGAGCAACGGGAGGCGTTAGAGGTACAGGGTCTCGGCCCACCGCGTGTGGACACGTCCTGGCCCTGTACTAACTCCTATTTGGAATACTGAAGGAGGGGAAATGCTTCGTCCCCACCCAAACAAGAGAGGTGGGCTGTGGGCCCCGTTGGGAGGGCGCGACCGGGTAAGATGGGAACGGAACTCTTGTCCATGTTCTGGCCAGTCGCGCCGCGAGTGAAGCTTGCAGGGGAAAGCCTTAGAGAGCCCCACAGGTGGATGATGGGTCCCACAGCCTGCCGCCCCCTTTTATTTGGAGTAGCGTCGGCGGGGGTGGCGTCTACTCGAAGTGACTGCCCGAGGCTAAACCTGAGGTGGGGGCCTGGAAAATCCGTTCTTTGCGTCAGGATGATCGATTGCCTCTGCTGTCAAAGGAACTGGGGAGGATAAGAGTGGAGGTGGCTGCACTCTCGGAGGTGAGAAGACCTGGCTGTGGCATAATCAGTATAAGTGGCTACACCTATAACGCCGCAGTGATAGTCACCATCTCCAGGGAGTAGCCATGGCCATCTCCAGCAGACTCCAGCCCTCAGTAGTAGAGGTTACCCTAGACGATGAGCGTATAATGGTAATGAGACTGAAGCTAACATTTAGCTTCATGTCTCTTATTGCTGTGTAAACTACTACCATGTAAGTAAACTTGACGTGAAATAGATGTTCTATGCCAAACTAGCATCTGTGTCAGACATGTGTTCCCTGTGAGATATTCATATTCTTCTGGGTGACTTCAATGCGGTATCTTGCTGTGATCGAGCTGGCTGAGATGTCTTTCCCCATGAGATGTCCCCATGGTTTGGGAGCTGATAGCCTCCTATTCCAGGACTTTACTAGGTCCCAGAAATTGAGGATTTCTGGCTCCTGGTACCAGTGCCCAGACCCACCTTGCTGGACATGGTACAACGATGCGGGTAATGCAGCCAAGGAGATCGAAAACATACTCGTTAGCACTCGCTGGAGGCTCCTCCAGAACTGTAGGGTGTATTGGAGTGCCGAGTTCTGTGGTACTGACCATAGATTGGTTGTGGCTATCCTCCAGGTCCATTTCAAAACTCCCCAGCAGTCCAATAATCAAACTAGGGTGTTTCACTTGGACAGGCTGAAGGAGGGAGAGTGTTCCCTGGGGTTTGCTGAGGCAGTCTCTGGTTGCTTCACAGTACTCGACAATCTGACAGACCCTGTACATTTGTGGGACATTTCTGAGTGCGAAACGCTTGATGTAGCTCAAGAAACGATTGGTGAATGTACGAGAGCAAGACAGAATTTAATCTTGCAGGAGACACTGGATGCCACAGATGCTTGCCGCGTGGCTTGTCTGACAGGGGATTGGGACTTTCACTGTTCTCAGGTGTGCAGAACTTGGTCACTGTTAAGAAGGGACAAGGAACAGTTTTTTAGGAGTCTTGGAGAGGAAGTAGAAAGCCATTTCTTAGTAAATGACCTTCGTCCTGCATACCAAGCCCTGAAAAAGCTGAACTCCAAGCCCTCCTCACAGGTGACAGCTGTTTGCTTAGTAAGTGGCCAGATCGTCTCAGATCCAGCTGCGGAGTATTTTGAGCAGTTGTACCAGGTTGACCCACCAACAGTTAACTTGGATGTGGGTAGTACCGAGATTCCATTGCCATACCCAACCATGAGTGAGGATCCACCCTCGGTAACTGAAGTTAGGGGGCGATCTCTAAGCTGAAGAGTGGTAAAGCAGCAGGTATCTGCGGCATTTCAGCTGAACTGTTAAAGGCTGGTGGTGAACCTATGGCGTGGGGATTGCATGCTGTCCTGGCTGCCATCTGGTGGTTCGGTACTGTTCCTCCTGAGCTGTTGAGGGGTGTGGTCATCCCTCTCTGGAAGGGGAAGGGGGGGCAATGGGACTGAAGCAATCACCGAGGCATCACACTGCTCAGTATACTAGGCAAGGTTCCTGCCCACATCTTTCTGAGACGTATCAGAGACCACCTACTGAGACACCAGAGGCCAGAGCAATCTGGATTCACTCCTGGTAAGCCCACAAACGACCATATCCTTGCGCTTCGATTTATTGTAGAACACCATCGTGAGTTTGGGTGTGGGCTGCTTGCAGCCTACATCAGCCTAAAGAAGGCATTCAATACGGTGCATCGGGAATCACTCTGGGAGATCCTGAGATTAATAGCAAGCTAATATCATCATCATCAAGGGGGCTGACGCCGACGGGTGCGCATAGCCGCATCCACCCTTCGCTTCCACCTATGAGGATCCCTCATGGCTAGACGCCAGGCAGGGACTCGGCCCATCTCTATTTCCTCACGGCAGGTTTGGTCGATCCGCCCAAGCCACGACTTCCTCGGTCATCCCACAGGCTTCCTCCACCCAGGGTTGTCTCGAACAGAGACGACCTAATGGGCAGGATCATCCTGAGGAAAGTGAGCCAGGTGGCCGTATAGCCTGAGTTGGCGATCACGGATTGTGCAGATAACAGGTCCTGTGCCAGTCTCACGGTGCAACCGTTGGTTGGACACATGGTCCCGCCAATACTAGTACCCCATGATCTGGCGCAAGGACCTATTACAAAAGGCTTCAAGACGAGCCTCCAAGGCACAGGACAATGTCCAGGTTTCGCTACCGTATAGCAAAACTGGTATTATCAGGGCCTTGAAAACCCGTAGCTTGGTCCTTCAGCACAGGTACCGGACATCCCATACTCTTGTTGAGAGAGTTCATGACCCTGCTGCCAGGCCAATCCGTCTGCTGACTTCATTCTGACAGCCCAGAGTTATGAACTACACTACCAAGGTATGTAAAGCTCTCTGTGACTTCAATGTCCTTGCTGCAAGCACGTGCCGACTGAACAGGTTCTTCTAACAAGTCCCCAAATTCCTGGACCTTGGTCTTGGTCCAGGAGACCTCTAGACCCAAGGGCTTCGCTTCATTGCTAAATGCATCGAGAGCCGCCACTAGGGTTTCCAAAGAATCAGATAGAATGGCAATGTCATCAGCAAAGTCAAGGTCTGTAACCTTGATATTGCCCAGCGTTGCTCCACAATGACTTTGAACAGTAGCTCTGCCCAGTATCCAGTCCATGCAAGTGTTGAAAAGAGTTGGTGCAAGGACACAGCCTTGCCTCACTCCAGAACTAACAGGAAAGAAGCTCGACAGGCCCCCACTACACTTTACAGCACTTTCATTACCAGTATACAGGCTAGCTATTACCAATAATCCTTGTTGGTATTCCTCTCAGCCTCAGGATCTCCCAAAGTGACTCCTGATGCACCGTATCGAACGCCTTCTTGAGATCGATGTAGGCTGCAAGCAGCCCACGCCCGAACTCACGGCGGCGCTCTACAATGACTCGAAGCGCGAGGATACAGTCTATTGTGGACTTACCAGGAGTAAATCCAGATTGCTCCAGTCTCTGGTGCCTCAGTAGATGGTCTCTGATACGTCTCAGAAGGATGTGGACGAGAACCTTGCCTGGTATACTGAGCAGTGTGATGCCTCCGTGATTGCTAGTCCCAACGGTCCCCCTTCCCCTTCCAGAGAGGGATGACCACACCCCTCAACAGCTCTGGAGGAACAGAACTGGACCGGCAGATGGCAGCCAGGACAGCATGTAACCCCCGTGCCATAGGTTCACCACCAGCCTTTAACAGTTCAGCTGGTATGCCGCAGATACCCGCTGCTTTACCACTCTTCAGCTTGGAAATCGCCCCCCTAACTTCAGTTAGGGAGGGAGGGTCCTCACTGATAGGTGGATCCGGCAGCGGGATCTCGACACTACCCGCATCCAAGTTAACTGTTGGTGGGTCAACCTGGTACAGCTGCTCAAAATACTCAGCCCAATGTTCCCGCACCGCAACAGGATCTGAAACGATCTGACCACTTACTGAGCGAACTGCTGTCACCTGTGAAGAGGGCTTGGGGTTCAGCTTTCTCAGGGCTTGGTATGCAGGACGAAGGTCATTTACTAAGAAATGGCCTTC